AAAACAGGTAACATCAGAATAAACCCAGCCTAACAGTTACAGAAAATCCAGTTACTCCAACAGCCCCAAGCCAGCCCCTTTCTTCTCTGCTTGTGTTATAATAATACACACACTTGAGGAAAAAAAAAAAACCAGAAATAAATGACAGCAGTAACAGTGCACAGGCAGGAAACACTGCAGGAACAGAAATAACATATCCCTGAAAAATGGGCTCAAACTCCAGCAGAGAGGAGAAAATCCCCAGTTTGCTTTCTGGAGGGATGCAGGACATCACGTTAATGTGTGGGATGGGAGCTGAATGAGGTAGTCATCAACACCAGCGAGGGAAGCATCACAAATTTTGTTAGATGGCCGGTTTTTGTCGGTTCTTTCCCAATTCCTGGCCTTAGCAAGGGGCAGGGGGAACAGACTGACTGCGGATCTGTCTTGGACCGGCTATGGCTTCAGGCAGGATCAATTCGCTCTGAAGAAACAAATAGCTGGAGCTTTATTTTATTTTGAGGATAATAATGATTGGAGCTTGTTTTCTTGTTGACATTTTTAATTTAAATAAATCAAAGTAACAAATATTTTATCATGATATGTAGACCTAGAAAGACTATTTCTCTAGAAACCACTAATTTCAACTTGCTGGTACAGCAAACATTGGCAAGAGCTATATATTTTCCCTTCCGTAATCAATTTTAAATTCTAGGAAACATTATTTAGGGTAGGAAAATGTGTCCGGTGAAGGGTTAATAATAATAATAACAATATGCTAACTGAAATCCTCCTACCTTACTCATACCTCACTGAGGAATTATCACTGCAAGAGAGCAGAGAGCTGTGAAACCCCTTCCCTCTCTCCCTTCTACAAAATGGCTATTAAAGTAGCTCAATTTTCAAATCAATTTTATATGAGTAAATTTGTACCCACACAAAAAAGTCCTTAATTATGAGAAAAAAATAATGAATTGCTTTAATTTTTTCTCCATTAAGAAGGCACATTAATTGAATTAGTAGCGTTGTTACATATCACCTGTCTGCCCCTAAATTAACATCACTATTGCTCATTCCATACTTATTTATGATGCAGGGATAGAAAGAAACCTGAACAGTCTAAAATCCATGCCACGATGATATACATACACACACATACTTGGCATAATCACGACTGGGAAATGCTGACTTGGAAGTGTGTGTCTAATCGAGAAGGTAATTTAGATCTCTTAAATAATTCCATCACTTTGACTTGGAAATGATTGGAGACGGGGGACAGCTAAATCTGGGAACTGGAAAAAAACCAAAACAACCAACTTCTGGAAAAACTTTCCATGCATTGCCTTGAACTTACGCAAAAGAAACGGATAAGGGAAAAAGTTCAGCACAGTGCATCTGACAATTGCAATCCAGGCAGAATTTTCCCCAAAACGTCTTCCCATAGTGCCCTGTCACCACCCTGCAAGAGCAGGGGGAGGCTGCAGGCGATGGTGGGGGCTGGAAGAAGCGCGTGTTCCACCGGGTCTGAAAACTGCAGGTTCCCCAAAGTTTAAGTAAGATGATTGTGAATTTTTTTTTTTTAAGCTTGAAAGCCTTTTGCCATCACTAGACATACAGTAATTTGCAATATCAAATACAATAATAGTACAGATAAGCATGTGACAGCAAAAGGATTCATAAATGCAGGGGTGTCCATAGCAAAACAGCAACATCTTAAAATACAAACAACCTCGTGTTGGGTGAATATTAAAACTCACCCGACTGTCATTTTGAACAGCCTCACACAAGAAATGGCCGCTATTTTGTCTAGGCTACAAAACCGCCGGGGTTATTACTAAAGATGTCCAAATAAAGAATTTGCCATTCAATTCTTTCCAGGAATGGAAATTTATCTTTGTTTTGAGATATAAAAATATATAAACTCCAAGGAGGGAATACCGAGCGCTCCTGAGGACCGGGGTGGGGGGGTCTCACCTTTGCCCCCCGTCACCCACCGCCTCGGCAAAAGCAAAACACCAGCTACTTTGCTCCGGCTGCACACCCCTGCTGCCTGTTGAGACAAGTGGGATTGTCACATTAACGATAGTTTCATTTATAAACAATACATTTAGGGAAAGCTTTTAAATACAGCAATCTGTGAACCATTGGTAAGCGATAAAAACAATCTGCGCTGGGAGTCGTGCGGTCCCTCATCCTCCTCCTCCTCCTCTCGCCGGGTGCCGCTCAGAGGACGATAGCTTTTAGTCTCAGGGCGCCGGGCGAGTCCTTTTCCCGGCGTTCCTGCAGGAGCGGGTTGCCCTCCCCGCCGCTCTCGCTGTCCGCCCCCCGGGGCTCTGCTTCTGTCGGCCGGGAAGGGCCACTGTTCCCAAAGGGCTCCCGTTCCCGGTTGCCAACACAATGCCTGGCACCGTACGGTACCACCGGCTTGCCGGACAAAGGGCTCTTCAGATGGAGGG